CGAATCACACATTAAGGTCATGAGAATAAAGGAAATGATCACCCACAAAAGAAGCTTTTGATCGGTGAACAAATTCTCCTGGTCAGCACCTTAGGAAATGTAAAGAGAAAGTATGAGGAATGCGCACATTGATGTTAGCTTGTAAAGGGTTAACAGCTGTAAATAAATTACCTCATTTCTGCTTGGCTTAGTTGGTTCGTAGTTACAGGAAGCACTTCTAAAGAGATCTCATTTTAGTTTTGTGGCATGGGGTGATTATTGATGGTTAAAGGACTAAAAGGAGTCCAATTCGGTCTGTAATTATACGAGTGATTATCAAAATCGGACGACCGCGAAGCGGGAGTCAGATTTGTTAATCAAGAGTATTATTTCAAACGGAATCGGACGACTCGGATTCCTGTTACCAGGTAATAAAAATACGACAAAATTTGAGAAAGAAACTAGACATCGCTTGTATTTAACTGTCGATCACTATTTCTCTGGTCTGTCGAAGCTCTTAGAAAACCAGTCACAAAATCAAATGTGGCAAAATCAATCAAATGTGAAAATTTGCTTTTACTAATGATTGGAGAACCCAGCAGATCAAAGAAACATTAAATGCTAAATGGCAGTGGCATTGACAAGGTCATTAGATCGAAAATACAAAGATCTCTCTCTATCAACCAGCTGAAGCAAATTATTTTGGTTTACCCGCAATAGCGTTGTACTTCAATAAGACACGATACTTTGTCTCTTGCGTTAATTACAAATGTTATAGTGGTTACCTTAGCACTTGCATCTCAGCCCACATCTCAAGTTCTATATTGCATCTATGCTGCTTACTACAGCACCAAGGTTGACGATGATCTTTAAACATACGTGCTTTAGTCAGAGTTTCACTCAGTTTGACTACTTTTTATTTCAAAAATGCACTAATCGTACATTATTTTGTTTTCCTTTCAAGGTAGGGTGTTGAAGTGGTGTTAACATAACTTACCTGAGGCATGGAACTAATTTTGTTCCACCTGTGCCAAACTAAAAGTAATCCAGGGTGCTTTGTTTTCAGATCAATGCTCTTAAACGCAACATCGTGACTTGGAGCTCACCGAAAAGCAACTTCTTCCTGTAAGGCTGAGTTCAAGCACATTCAAGTTATTAACCCTTGACATCCTAATATTTGTTTGCATATTCTCCTTAGTGTCCTCTTTACATTTGCTGAGGTGCCATAAAGAGACTTTGTTTAACAATCAGGAGCTTTTCTATTTGGTGATCATTTTTCCTATTCTTTTGGCCTTATTGTGTGATTCAGGGGTGAAATTGTATAGAGAAATTAGATGCTAGAAATTCTTAGCGAGTCAAAGGGTTACGGATCGTTCGTAAATTACTCATTCGTACATTTTCTATTTGTCTCTTGCACATCAAATCACCATGCATTAGAA